AATATGCGCATACATGTAAAATATGTTAAATGTGTACATAATATGTATAATTTAATTAATTTCTCAAATAACACAGTTAAAACGTTTTATCATTATAAAGTACACGCTTCACAGAGCTTTTATTATTAGAAAATTACTGATAAATATTTTCAAAAACAAGTCTTTGCTTTTGGTTTTTAATACATATTTATTTAAGACAAAACATACAAACACATTAATAAAGCCAATGAAATTTTTTAATAGTTTAAAACAAATTGAAAAATAAATGTTTTGAGAATTTTAAAACTTAAATTTTTTACCACATAATAGACATATTTGCTTACTTTTGGAAGAAATAAATAAAAATTAACAAACCGCTGACATTATTAATTTTACACTTCTATTAAGTTTTCATTTCCCTTTCTCTTTAATTTGTTTGTGTTAGTTCGAAATAATTAAATATTTTGTTTAATTAAAATAATTTTAGCTTCACTTATTTTTCTGTGTGGAAAGTATAATTTATTTCTTTTTTGTAAACTACAAATATAATTGTAAGAACAATTTTACAGCGCTTTTGCTTTCGCTACCCTAGACTAACTATTCCAATTCTCAATTTCCTCATTTTTTTTGTTCGTCTATTTCTATATTTTGGTTTTTTTTTTGTAAAAGCTCAAAAACAGAGAAAGGAATACTAAAATTTCTAAAAAGCTTTTTTGTAATTTTTGAGAGGGAAACGAAATAATAACAAAATATTTTGTGCATTAGAATTCCTATTTTAACTTTTTTTTCTACACGATATGCGCCCAATGCTTTTCACATCATCCCTCACTTGTTTCAACAATAAATGCAAGTGTGGGAAAAGCTAAATGACAAAAATTTCTGGAAAGTTAAAAACTAATAAAAGAGGTAATATAAAAGGGAGAATAGCATTTTTTTAGTTATTTGTGTGCACAAGCACGATACATACAGTTTTGGCATCAATGGCAATAATATATATATATATATATATATATATATATATAATATATATTTATTTTTTTAAAGTTTCTCAAAAGCTGAAACTTCAAAGTTTCTGGAGAGTTAATTGAGAGAATGGTGTTAATATTCGGAGAAATTTAATAATGTATATATATATAAGGGTAGCGTATGCATTATGTGGAATATGTTTCTTGGCATAAAAAAACGCAGCCCTTGATTCAAAGTAAGAATTTTAGTTCGACAAAACAAAACATGGTGCTTTTATATGTAGTCTTAATTCAATGTTATAGAAACACCTCGTTTCTTATAAGTTTTTTATTTGGAAAATTAAACTTTAATGTTTTTCTATGGAATTTTTCGTTACAAGCCATAGAAAAAAATTTTCAACATGGCAAATCATTAGCACGCGTGCCAGACTGGGCACGTTTCGAATTTTCTATGTCACGCGTCGAATTAAACATTTTCATATTTTCATTCTATTTATTCCTTTTTAGGGAAACAAATTTAAAAATTTATATAAATTTATTATTACTATTAAAATTTATTATAATACTCGTATCTAGTGTAAATTTTTAGGAAGAATTATTTTAGTTTATTTATTACTTGCATTTGTTTTAATAAAAGCCTTAATTTTTTAAATAATGCAAGTGTTAATGTAGTAATATAGTTTATTTGAAACTTCGTACAAAATTCAATTATGTGTTTTTTTTTATATCCTGCATCTTCGTAAAGCTTATATTCACTTTGGTATGAAGTTTACAACCACTTGAAGGAGTCGTCTCCGGTATGGACAGATATATACATATATTAAGACCTCAGCGTAAAATTCTGCGATGATTCAGACATGTCTGTCCGTCCGATCGCACGATAACTCAAAAACAAATAATGCAAAAGACACCAAACTTTCGCAAGTTGTTGCTTTTGTGCCAACGACGGCTGCTATTGTAATTGTACCAATTCAGACAACGGGTTCGGGTAGCTGCCATACAACTCAAACGGGTTTTTTCAAATATTTCAAAAACTAATAAAGATATTAATATCAAATTTTGTAAAGGTGTGTCTACATAGATTCTGAATATTTTAATGAAATGGCTGCACAGGTTCGGGTAGCTGCCATGCAACTTCGAAAGTTAATTATATTTAACGAAAGTTATTAATAAATATTTGGGAAAATATTAAAGCTAGATTCATGAAACTCGGCAGTCGTGTATGCAATTTCAGTGCAGATGTAAACATGAAATTTTGGTGGAATGGTTTGACAGGTTCGGGTAGCTGCCACAGAATTCCAAAAGAAAATTTTAAATATTTGAAAACTTGGCAGTCTTGTGTCCACTTATAGGTCAAACATAATATCTGGGAAGTTTCTAGAGAGTGGTTTAACAGGTTCGAGTAATTGCCATTTAACAATAAAAGCTAATTCTAGATATTTCAAAAAAAAAATTTTTAAACTCAGATTGTCAAAGTGCAGGGTATTATTCTGTCGGTTTATACCATTACTTACATTTTGTAAAATTGAAGTGATATCATTTATACCGACTGCATTGTGTATACAATGAGGTAGGTTATGTGATGGCAAAAAATTTTAGATTTCGAGATTTCTGTGGGAATACACTACTTAATGGTAGGGCAGTGTAAATTAACTATTTTTAGAAACCTGTCGGTCTGTCGGTCTATGTGTACGCGTGTACGTCGGTACGATTTTGATGGAATTTTATACGTAAATTTATTTCGACTATGTCACCGGCTGATCAACTTTTGGGATATATCAGGCCTCGGAAACTTGACATTTTAATGAGCCTATTTTACATTTTTGATCATTTTGAAAAAAGTATTCAACAAATTTTCTTGAAATTTCATATATAAGCTTCATATATATATTCGATCATATGCAAAACCTCCTAACTTTTGGAAGAAATTAAGTGTCAGCAATTGGACGTTTACTACGGGCCAAATATACATTTTTGCGTTTATAAAGAGAAATAATCAACCAATTTAAATTTAACATTTAAATTTAAGAATCTATAAACTTTTTGGAAATATCATCAAACTTATCTATTCTATATCATTAAAGTTGATACGAACAACTAAGAGTCAAAATAACAGTTAATATACTGTTATAACAGCTAGTTTGCACTTTACAACAGCTAATGTGTGTCAAAAGATTTTGGATTTTTGCACTTATGGGAATAGTGCTTTAATTATGGCTTAGTGATTTTTTGATTTTTAAAGTAATTTTTCCACATCATAAGTGAATTATACTTATTTAGGAAATTCAATTATATATTTCAAAATATTGAGCATTAAATTGTTAATCTAAGCTAAAATTTGTTATAAAATCTTTTGGAAAAATAAGATTAATTTATTTTAATATTGATACTAGTAAACACGGAAATATTGTATAATTTGGCATAATATAATTATTATGTAAAACACTATAATAATTATTTATTCAAACATTTAAATTTTTTTAATATCAAAATTCTTTTGTAAAGTATTGGAAAGTTTTAAAGCAACTTTTTAAAAAATTTTTTTGTAATTTCATTCAGCCAAAAATTTTCTCTTTAATCGGAATGGATTTTTCTGGTGAATTTATCAACTTGTTATATAGGAATGTAGGACGTTGAATGAAAGTCTCAAAAATCTATAGGTTCAGTTATGTAATCCATATAAAAAAACTACCTTTATTACTCTAATCGCTTAAGCATTAAAATAAATAATATTATTTTTCAGTTTTAGAATTGCTTTTTTCAAATTTATATTATGTGCATACTACAATAATAAATCGGCTTTTTTACAATTTTTAAAATTTATAACAAAAGCAAAGGGTCTTGTGTCAGCAACATGATAGTGACTTAATAACATTAATGTGAACTATGCTAATCCGTTTAATACTTAAATGTTTTGTAACCCAATTTTCTCCGAGCAATTAAAATCCGATACCCCAATTGATTTGCTTACAAATTTGCATGAATAATTGTAATCTGAAAAGGTTACATAGCTATTTGGCATTAATTCGTGCAATAACTAAATTTAAAGTTTCAGATTATTTTTAAAGCAAGCCAAAATCTTTGTTTATGTTCAGGTAGTTTATACTTTCTATCTACTAGTACATATTTCAAATTACCGTTTATTGTAGTTAATATATTGAAATGTTGCAATATCACTTTTTATTATATATAAAACATATATAACATATATGTTTATGTAAATTTAAGCCATATTTTATTTAATTATTCATGTTCTTTTCCGAAATCAAACAATTAAATAAATAAGTAGGTCCAAAAATATAACGAAATCAATTTGATTGAAACCTTATACTTGATAAAGCAATTAATTTTAAATTTAAAAAAAAAATAATTTTTACAAAATTCATTTCACCTTAACTGATAAAAATTAATTGACTCAAAGACGTTCCAATTATATTAGACCGATGTTCAAATTCTTATTCAATCTTCTTTTCTCTCATGAAACACTTTTTACTAAAGAATAAATAAATTTTTTGGTAAAATTAACACCTACAACATGGTCCAGTGGGTTCTAGCATTGAAAAAATAAAATAATTGAAAATTGTCAAAAAGGCAGAAGAATTATAAATTATTGAAACCAGAAAATATATGTATTAACGAATTTATTAAATCTTGACTTTACTTCCAACTTTAAAAAAGAAATGCACACAAAATAACAAATGTGAAATAAATTATGCTTTTTTCTACAATTATAAAGTACGAAAATTAAATTCATTCTGGATATAAAATGAGTGTAGATTGAATTTAATGATGGAAATAAAACTTGGAACACCGATTTCCATTCTCAATTACTGAATTTATAAAATATGGAAATTAAGGCTATTTCCATCTAACTTTAAATATATTAGTAATTAAGAAATATAAAAACAAAAATATCTCATAAATTACTAGCTTGAGTAAAAGAAATTGATCGTTAATAATTCTGCTTGTTAGGCAAATTTATTTATTTTTTTTATTTCCCATGTTTTCAAATAAACTAAGGTAAATGAAGAAAATAAACAATTTATCTTTACTTACCGATGGCATTTGCGAAATGTTGCTGTAGTTGTTGTGTTAACGCTTGGTGATGTTGTGCCAGAGGTGTTAAGGGAGTTTGGTTACTATTGTTGTTCGAATTTGATTGATGAGCTAATTGTGAGTGAGGCAAAGACAAATTATTTATATTTTGTACAGAATTATTGACTTGATTAACCCCAGTGATGTTACCACTAGTTGCAGGAGAATTTGTTGGAAGCTTGTTATTGCTATTGTAATTGTTAATAATATGATAATGTTGTTGTTGATAAAGCTGCGATGATTGTTGTTGTGACTGTTGTTGCTGTTGTAAAGTGGTATTTTGTGAAGGTTGAATTAGCTGTGTCGAATTATTAATTGTTTGTATATTTCCGACGGGCACTGGCTCATTATTTGTATTTGCGCTATTTGAAACAGTGTTTGAAATACCGTTGGCAATATTGGAAGAAGAGAATGTCTCCTCACCTAAAATATGAAACCCTATTTTATATTAAGTTTTTCAATACATTATACATATATTTAAACACTAAGAGAATATTACTTTTCAAAGTAACTAAATGCACAAAAACATCATTTATAAAAAAACTTTTGTAATATATTTTCTTGTAATATATTTGTAATATTATTTAATTTCGAAGGCACAAAGCAAAGGATAAGAAAGAATTCCGACTTCTTGACAGTTAAACAGTTCAAAAAATCATAAATCGTATACTCCGAATATTACTCAAATTGAATTTAGAAAATTATTTTTGGCAGTTAAGTTGTTAAATAAAGAAAATATGTAAAATGAAAAAAAGCAGATAAAATTATTTTTTACTTATTAGGCCGAAATCTTACTTGAATTCAATTAATCTTAAGACTGTACAGTCTATTTATCAGTAGACAGTTTTATCCAACTATAAAGCAATTTATTTACAACTATAAAAGTAATTTAATTATGCAGTGTTTGCCCTTGTCGTCATATACGTTGAATTGAAATTAGATCCCTCTCCAGTACTAATTTTTTTTTCTCCAGTGAAATTTTCAGTATGGTTAACAGTGATGCCAATTTAGCATTTTTCGGTATGTTACAATACTTATAGTTTCGTAGAAAGGTGATAAATAATGTTAGAACATAATTATATAATTTTGAAAAAGAAAATGACAACGAAGAAATGACTGGCATGGTAATGTCAATAACAAGCAATTCAAAATAAGTAAACTATTATATAATAGTTTTAATATAATTTTTTTTAATCTTATTTATTGTTAATTAATTTGTCTTCTTATTAATTTTTATCATAAAGTAAATAATGATACTTAATTATGTATAATATAACAATAAGTACACTCCTTTACAAAAAACGAGGAAATTTTTTTCTCATTAAAAATGCATTTTTTCGAAAAAAAAAGAATGTGTAGATATTTTTTGTGCACGTACATGTGTAAGTATTTAAAAGTAGCTATTAGAAAAAAAAATTTGAAATAAAAAAATAGACTCATACACGTACAAACTTATTTTAAAAATTATTAAAAAAAAATTTAAACAAAAAACGACTTTTAATAAGAATGTTCTCTTGAAATAAATTTTAATGTTTTTTATGATCAATTGTTCTTTTTAGCACTTTTCCAAAAAAAATATTGAAAAAAAGTGCTTATTAGTATCATTCTGTCCGTCCGTTCGTTCGTCGTCTGTACGTCCGTCTGTACGTGTGTCTGTTTACAAAACGTCTACACACTTGAAGATAGAAAGCTTAAATTTTATACATACATAGATCTTTACTAGAAATTAACATTCGTAGAACCAAATTTTTTCCTATCTGACCCCCTCGCCAGCTTTTTCAAACTTCTATAAACGCGGAGAAAAGTAACGGTAAATTCCATGTCATTAAAAAATATAATTATTTTCTTAATTCACACAATTAACCTTTAAAATTGAGCATTGTGTTAACCCCTCTTTAAATTAATTTTTGATTTATTTCAAAGACTGCAAAAATCGTTCATCCTAAATATATGCAATCCTAGAAATAATTTCGTATATGAATAAAAAAAATTTTAATAGTATGGTAGGTCTCCTATAATGTATATAAAGATGTCTGTGGGTAAGTACACATAGATTATATTTAAAAGCAGTAGTTTCACTTGTTTAAGGGAAAAGTGCTACAATACAAACCATTGGTTTGACCCAACTTTATTTTAAAAAAATTTTTACATATTTTTTCAATGAAGGATTATATTTTTTCACATGTTTTTTTAGACATAAAGTTTATTTACACATTCTTAGTTTTGGAAAAATATATTATTAATAAGAGAAGATTAGAAAAAGTTTTTGAATATGAATTTTTAATGTTTTAATTTTGTTTTAACTTATTATGCAAAATAAAAATATGAGGACTGAAAAACTAATCTTTGATTTAGAATTTGAAAATTATTATTTACCACTTTTTTGCACAACATCAAAGAGACTTTTGCACATTCTATGTGAAAAATATTGGCATCACCGGTCGCCAACAGGGATTTTTCGTTTCGTGTGTGAAACCCGAACAAGTTTGATTCATTGCGACATTGTTATACATATACTTAGCTGATTTTGGGATATATTATATCTCCTAAACGACAAGCAATTGATCAATCTACAATACAAGCACGAAGGAAAAAGGCATTATAGACTTCAAAAGCCAGTAAAGAACCGGAAACAAGACGTGAAACCAATCAAGTACACATAGTTCAAGCGCGTTCGGCTGAAACAGACAATCAACGAGAAACATGACTAAAAAATAGCGGCTTTTAAATAAGCAGAATTTAGTATATGTACAGAACTTCGTTAGTCACGGTTTTAACAACAAAATTATATTGCAACAAGTTCTTTTTTTTTATTTAGAAATTATATTTTTCAACTGAAAAAATTTTTTAAGAAAAATTATGTAAATTTTTCTTAATTTTGACTGAGGAAAAACGAAAATCGGAATCAAAATGCAAAACGAGGAGCCGGGAACATAAATTTTCAATTTTCAAATGGCTCCGATTGGACCCAAATGACAGCCCAGGTAAGATTCTACGAGTAGAATGTGATAGGACTGTATATTATTCCACTGCACCGCAAAAATATTCTTAAAAAGCATTCATGAGAGATACTTCAGAAAATGTGGATGGGTGATGAGTGAAACGCTGTTCGATTTCAGAGAAAACTAATGACCCAAAGATTCTTTACTCTCGAAATGCGTTCCAAAGATTCTGATTTCGCAAAAATTTGTTTGAATTCGTATATTTTGGAAACCAATTAGAATTGGTACACACTCCAGAACAAAATTTTTACCCATTTTTATTGCGCTGTTTAAAAAAATATAATCAAATGCAAGTCTATTGAATTGACCTTTCAAATGAACCCAGTTTTCGCTCATTTTGGGAAAAATTTTCCTCTTACACAGCAATTTGGATTTGCCTCAAACTTTAACAATTTATAGATATCGACTTATTAATTTTATTAAACTCTCTTCTTTACTAAGTTATTAACTCTCAAAATTCGCAAAAGCCCCATTGTCCTCCACTATTACCTCCACAGTATAACTAACGATTTTCCATAAAAACAAAAATTTGTAAACGATCAGCCTCTTAACCGAAACTATACCCTTACGCCTTAAATGCATCAATAGCATTACTATTTTAGCTTAATAATAGTATAAAGATTTCGAAAATTATCATTCAATCAATTCAAAAACTATGTATGTTAATAGATAGTTTTTATTACTTAATATCGTGATCGTTAGTCACCGCATCATTAAATGTTTTACGAACCATTTCAATCGGGAAAACTTCCATAAAACTAGTTAATTTTTTTTAGTCTTATCTTACTTAATCTTAATTTACTTTTCATTTAATTATATATTTTAGTTTAAACACAATTTAAAAGTAGTACACACTTGGGGGAAAAATAAGAAATTTCGATTTTTTTTCTCCATACAATATTTTCGTCAGTCTCTCATAGTTTTGACAATAAAATCTAAAGTGCATGTCAAAAATACCTGTTTTATACATTTCATGAAACTGAAGATTTTATTCAGCCATATCATGAATAAAATGATGATAAATTCCTTTCACACATTATTTATTTACCTAGCAATATTCATAATAGAATTTTAGTATTTCGGAATTGAGAATATAAAAATTGTAATTTTTCGAATTTCGGAACTACAAACGCAATTCACTATAGGGCTGATTATATAATATTATGTACTGGCAACCATTACAGATTATGAATCAGTAATGGTTGCCAGTACAATTTTCCGGAGTGCCAAAATCAGTACTTTATTTTAAATATCAAATGTTTATTTTTGCTTTTGTTGCTATTTGAATACAAAATTTTCATAAAAATAGATCTTTTTTTAAAAACGAAGTTTTGAAATTTTGTTTCGTTTTCGAGTTTTTTTGAAAAGTGGAAAAATTTTTTTTTAGCAAATATAAATTCATTTCGTTTCATTGCAGCTGTTTTAGAAGAACTCAAATTCAAACAAAAAAAATCAAATGTGGTCTGCACATAACCGACCACAATGTATATAGTCTAGATTAGTAAAGATTAACATACCTAGCAATATTCATAATAGAATTTTAGTATTTCGGAATTGAGAATATAAAAATTGTAATTTTTCGAAATTCGGAACTACAAACGCAATTCATTATAGGGCTGATTATATAATATTATTTTTATTTATTTTATTCAAACTTAAATATTATTATACAAACTTAAAAAGAGCGTTAGCTCTCAAAGAGGGTGTACATTGTTCTACATTTAGATAATTTTAAATAAGATAAAGGAATTTAGTTTTGAAAATTCAAAGTAAAAAGCAATTTAAGTAAGTAAAAATTAATTTTTTAAAAAGTATTCAAATATAGATGAATTTATAAATAACATTTTATTTATTTAAAATTTGAAAAAAATTTTTTTTTTACATTATACCTGCCAAACTAAAATTACCTAATTTCCAATTGTCATTGGTAGTGTATTTTTATACTTTTCTAGCATTGGGTATTTAAAATATCCTTAACTTGTAACTAATTATTCTCAAAAATTGATTCCTATAAAAGAAGAAAAGGTCTCCTTATAACTAAATTTAAACAACATTGGAAAAGATGAGAATTTTTTTTAAACCGTTGAATTGATATCCTATTATGTTGTCGTGTGATTATGCAGCTTCTCTGCCCGTCACAAAAATTTCACGATTATGCAAGAGCAGGGCAAAAGCCTATAAATATGTCAATTTTCGGCACAGATCGTTAAATATGACAAAAAAAATTGCTAATAGTTGCAAAATGTTAATATTTGAATTTGAAGTACTTAAAGCACTGTTAAATAACGTAAGTCGCAATATGAAAAAAAAGTATAAGTCAAAATGGTAAAACTAGCATTTTTAAGTTGCATAAGCTATTAGCATTTACCCAAGCAATTTGTCGTCCCTTTTAAATTTCTGCGAGAAATACTAGCAAAACATTGCATAGTTGCAAAAAGTTATTAATTTAAATTTACCTATTTCAGGAATGGCTCCAATAGGGCTCTCTGGAAGCAAAATTCCTTTCTGTACAAGATCTTCTCTATTGGCACGTACGGATATTTTTCTTTCAAGGGCTAAAAAGATAAAAATACAATTTAAAATTGCAAATTAAGTTTATAAAAAAATATTATAAAAGTTTATAAAAACATTCAACGCATTTACGAAATTTTGGTTACACCACTGTAAGGAATATATCTATGTATTATAATTTTGTCAATTTTTATTAAAGTTTCCTTTGTTTTATTTCCTTTGTTTACTTTTTTAAGTGTGCATAAAATTTAACAATCTCTAACAAAAACAAAAACAAAGTTGGCGCAAACCATGGCTGACAGAAATACAGGCCTAAGAGACAATGACAGTTTACAGCTGACGAATTTACACGTATTCTTATGGGATCTATAAAGGGCCCTTTTTAACATCATAAATCTCCTACAAGAGCAACTTTTTTCCAATTTTTAATTAGAAAAAGTTGAAATTCAATTTTTTTCTACTCTACTAGTGCCAACATTCTTAAAATTTTGTGCTATTGAAAAAAACCTTCTAGGTTCTGTTCAGTTTTTTAAGATTTCAATAAATGATTTTTTTCTAAGTATTTAGTTGATTTGGTGTATTTTTTTAAATTTGAGAAAATGTACATTTGATATTAACAAGTTTGCTAATTTTGTATATGTCTGCCAAAATGTATACTTCTTATATAATCACATATACATTAAAGGTCTATCTAATTTATACCATTTTATATTAAGGTTTATATAATATTCTTTTTAGGTAAAATCACATACATATTTTAGTTTTATTAGGAAATATTTTCACATATCTTGTTAGTAAGGCTAATTCATTTACCTAAACTACCGCATCAGGCAGCTAACTTTAAAACTTATTTAAGTTTCTTTATAATATTTTTATTATGTTTGTTTTTATATAGAGGAGAACTTGAAACTACGCAGTTTTTATAATGATTATAAAATTTTAAAAGCACTATTGTAATTATAAAACTTAAAATCAAATAATTATTCAACTTAAATTCTAAACTAAAACCTTATTAAATTTTTAATTACTTTATTTTAAGTCGTGTAATCTAGACTAAAAACTTGAGAACCAACTCTCAGATATATTACCCAACATGGCGGTACAAAAACAGGCGTAAAAAACTCGAAAATATATTTAATAAAAATTATAGTTAAAATTTTGAGTTGAAATTTGAATTTTTTATATGTTGCTCAAAAAAACTTCAAATTATAGTCATCTTTTCGAATAGAAAACTCGCACAAAAAATAGGCAAAAAACATAATTTTTCCAAAAAAACAACGAAAAATTGCTCTTCAGAAATGTCATTTCGTCACAAATACATATGGAATTTTACAAATACATGCACAAAAAACGCAGGGTCCAGGCCTTGATATTTTGTAATGTCAACGTGCAAACCAATAGTTTGTAATGTAGAACTTTTGTCTTCAACTAGTGAGAATACTGCTTGTAAAGACAATGTAGCTATGTACTACATTATTAAAATTACTTTCATTGACATACGCATACATTTCAAATATTGCATAGCTTTAGGAATCTTTGAAATAAAACAAAAATTTAAAGATGCGTTAACAAAAATAACTATATTTTTTAACGACATGACATTTGTAGAACTTTGGAAAAGCTTTCGGAAATATAAGGGGCCAAAAATTCAAATTTTGCAAATTTCGAGGGGCGATACCTTGAGAGGGAATGAAGGCGGAAAAAAAGTTTCTTTCAACGAAATGAACTATTTATTACTGTCTATCTATTATTTCAGACTTTCAAGGCCTTGGGTCTGGAAGAAAAATAACATCAAAAATTTGAAAAGAGCAAGTTTTAGATGACGGTAAATTTTAACGGCCATTTTTTTGTTTGTAAAGTTCAAATTAGGTATGACGCGGTAGAAAAAAGTCAGTCACTACTGTTTTGCGTTTACAGAATTTAAAACATGGTTTTTGGATTTGCTACAAGAATTACTAAAAAATGGCATTTTTAAGATTTTGAAGGGTTATAACTTTTAGAGGGGGGAGATAAATAAAAATTTTCTTCAACGGAAATAAGTTTCTGGTAGAGATCTATGTACATATGAAATTTCAGCTCTCTATCTCTAAAGGTGCAGAAGTTTTGTAAACAGACACACTGACAGACGGATACACAGAGTGAAATTAAAAAGCACTTTTTTTTCAAAAACTTTTTTGAAAAAGTGTTGAAAATTAAATATATAAATGACTTTTTATATCTTTTCTTTAATATTAACCTTAGCAAGATCTCCAACCGGGGCATTTTGGTTCAGATTTGAGTTTTTTCTCAGCCAAAACCCCAAAAAATATTGATAATTATTTAAAAAAAAAAAATTTCAGTTGAAAAATATTATTTCTATATAAGCAGTTGGCGTTAAAATATCCTACAACTCCGTTTCACCAGTGGCGAATTTTTTTTTGATGTCACAGTGATGATTTTTGATGAAGACAGTTTCATGTGTGTGCTGTTTTCTTTGCAGAGCGTTAGTATATTCATATTAAACATACCGTGATTTCAATAATGCGCTTACGAAGTAAACTTTACAAAGTACACTTTTCCTAAATGCGTTCTATACGTAGTGGATACGTAAAATGAAAGTAAATCGGGTATCGAAAAAATCGAGCAAGCTGTTCTTATAGTACATATAATATAAATAATGCCAGAAATAACGAAATAAATAAACTGGCATATATTTTAAGCAATATAATGCTAGTTATTAAGTTTTTTCCCTAAAATGCAGCATAAAAATACTATGTTTTTAATGATGTGGTAACGTTTGTTAAAAATTAACATTTGCACAGAACTTTTAATTGAAATTTTCAAACAAACGTCAAAGTATTTGTTAATATGGTAAAAATTGTATTCCAAAATTTATCAAAATTGTTGGTTTTTTTTTTTTTACAATTTAAAGGTATTGAAAGCTCTAAGACGGTAGTACAATCATATCAATACAGTATACATAAACTTTTTATAAAGCATTATTGAAGTCACGGTAAGTTTCATATATTTTTCCCAGGAAAAGCGATCAATCTTTCACTGATTCGAAAAATTCTTTTGCAAGAAAGTGAGGGACTACACTTGTTTATTCTGTTTATATATTTCTTGATTGATGCCATTTCTGTATTAATACTGTCTTTCATCTACATATTTAAAAATAATCATCGCAAGTCTTATTACTTGTTAGTTTTGATGAGGGATGTTCGCTTCCATTACGTGAAGTTTTTGATTTCGTGTTTTCTATTTCTCGATCATAATTACAATTTTAGATTTAGATTACATAAATATAATAAAATATTTTTAAAAAAGTAATATTAAGCAAAATAACTGGGAAAGACAATTTAAATTCAAATTACTTTCGGAAATTAGTTAGAAAGACCGAAAAGTAGTTCTAATTTCTAAAATGCTCATAAGCTGAATAAACGTATATTTTATAATAAGAAAATGTTAGCTCCTCTAAGAAAATTATCACTGTCATTCATCTTAATTGTCGTCTGTTTCTAAAAAATTTTTTTGCTCTATACTAATAACAACAATACTTACATTTTGATGCTGCTTCAAATTTTTCACTTTTCTTTTTCCTTCTCCATTTCCAAGGCTTGAAGAATCTTCCTATTGCGCTAAATTTACTTTTTCTTTCTAAAGGTGGTGTTCTTGATCCCGTTGATCCTAAACTGTTCGTTCTCAAAGCTGAACTATTCTGCTTTTTACCTAAAATTGAAAATGTTTAAAAATAATGTTCGTAAATACACATACGATGTATATATAAAATATAATTATTGCAAACCCTAGCCTAGGTCTGCATATACATATACAGGGTGTGTCGCTTTATATGTACATGCAGAAACCCCCCACCCATATATGTTTTTGCTGGAAATTAATCAAAGAATAACCCCTTAAATTATTTGTCACCTTATGCGAAATAGCCTATACATGCAATGAATCTATCTAAAGAGCACTAGTTTGGACATAGAAGTACGTTTGATGAAAAAATGTTATATAAACCTACTTACACTAGATAAGGTATTAAGCTATACAACCTATGAAGATTTACATAAGTATATATTGAAAAACGAAATTTTTTCATTTTTAACTAATTCTAAGAAAAATAATATACTTTTTAATTTGGACATGTCTTTCTCAATATTCTAAAGACTTCCACATATTGTCATTGATAAATAAAAAAAAGATTTTGAAATGTTAAAGCTCTCAGAAGGTGATTCGTTGGAGTTTTTAAGGAAAAAATTCGTATGGATTGGGAGTGAAAGGATGGGGGTGGTGAATATCTTGGACGCGGTTGAAGCTAGAGCAAAGTTGTGTTTGAAAACTTTTTTGTTAATTAAGTGAAATATTACATTGGCTGCAAAACCGCAGGCGTGCCACGAAAGTTGTAGAAGCAGATGTAGCGCATTGAGAAAAAAAATAAAGTCCTTATATTTAGTGTTGAGGTATAATAATATTTAGTTTATTAAAATTTAGCTATTAAATACTTAAAACCAGTAAGTCTTACACCTATCATCGGTATACTGTTATGTAGGTACATACGATTTTTTATGACACGTATGGCAGCTTTACTACAATGTGAATAACATTAATAATAAACATACTATTCATGAACATGATACAGGGGATAAAACAAAACGATAAAAGTAAGTACTTGTAATATAAGAACTTGCTAAAAAACGAGCACAGAAAAAACGTAATTTTCTGTGATTTTCAGCCAGCTCTTGTTTAGTCAAAAGGCTATTTTAAATTGGTTTATCTTTAATTTAACTGAAAATAGTGGAAAATTCGAAATATTCTCACAAAAAAAATATCACGCCACATCACCTCAAATATGCCTTTCCAGTGGTCGTGTCTGTAGAGGCGATAAAAAATGTTTTTAGGTTTATAGCATTAACAGATGATGCAATTTCACAAAAAAATTTAAACACGAGGAAGCAAAGAAGATTTTGAAGCAATATTTAGTGATCTTTTTAATTACTTGCACTACTATTTAATTGAAGGAAAGCGGAATTTTTTTAGATTTCTAAAGTAAAGTAAGTGTCTCTAATACTGACAGTGGTGTAATATTAACATATACGAACGAGGTTTTTTTTAATTATTAAGAAATTTTCTCTATACAATATATACTTATACAGGCCCGGACGGTTCATATATGCAAAGTATGCATTTGCAGTGGGCGACAGAAAAGCAGGGGCGCCATTAGAAACTTTAAAAAACCATAAATTTAAAAAAAAAAAATTTTAATACAAATTTAATTCAATCTACAGCGAAATTTACTTGATAAAATGTACCTACATACAAACATAACATTTTATTCCTAATAATATAAGAAATGTGCATGAAAAAAAACGGTCAGTTACGCAAAACACTTAGTATTGATCTTCATATATTTTCCTTTCGCACCGTACAATGAAATGTTCATAGAATGAAAATTATTCACACATTTTCTTACTCTAAACTACTCTTTTATTTTTATTTATTGTACGAATACACAAAATATTTTTTTCAATGTATGAATCATCAGAATTGCAAATATTAATTTTTCCTTTTACATACATACTAGAATAAATTCGCATATTATGCCTATACGCAGAAAATATTATTTCATACAGCTATACACATTCAATCCTACATATACGTATACATAAGTGAAATCATCTCATATAATATGCATAGAAGCAAGATACGCAAAAAATAAAAATATTCAAAAATACACACGCACACATAATTTATATTGTTTAATTTGAATAAGATCAACACTCATGCGTACACATATAATTATCTCATAAAGCAAGATTTTTATTTTGCTGAGATTGCTCCCTATCAACACTCGCTCGTACACATATAATTATATCACAAAGCAAAATTTTTATTATGCTTAGTGATCTCCCTGGCTACAGTCGTTCGTACACATTATATTTAAATTGTTTCATATATGCAAAATTTTATTTATGCTTAGTTGTCGCCCACTCACCAAACAAACAAACACATTATTATAATGTATTACTTTTCTGTATACTATTGCATTAGTAAACAACAAGAACAAAAAAAAAAAAACAAAAATTAAGAATGAGAATAGAAAGAAATTAGAAAAAGAGAATGAGAGCAATATTTTTAAACAATGGAATGCGTTATGCGTAGCTTGATGTTGAGATTGTGTATACCAATATTTTGTTTTTGTTTAACAACAAAAAATTTTGAATGAATTTCAAAATTACATGATCGTTATGAATTTCTACTACTATGTTTTGCTTTCGTTTTTGAAAAAACTGTTATCAATCACAGAATTAAATATTAATTGGTAATATCTACTACTTATATTGAATTGGAAAAATGTTGTTTAATAATCAAGCGAATATTAACAATTTTATGTTGAATTGATCTTGTGTAAATCATGCAAACAATAAAAGTAAAATGAAATGGCGCAATAATTGGTTTCACACATTTAACTCCAAAATTAAAAATGGATTTATTTTAATAAAATCAAAAAAATTTAATGAACAGCATAAAAGCTTGTACCAATGTACATAAAAAGCTTAGTTTTTAAGTCATAAATTTTAGAACGAAACTTTGATTTTCCTTAAATTTTTGAATGCAAGTCGAAACTTTTTTTATACGCTGCTTAAATTCTTAGGCGATTAGTGAAATAAAAAGCCAAATTTTATTCATAAATTTAAAATTACGAATAAAAATAAAAATAAATTTCTACTTTTTTTCATATTCAAATAAGCTTTGAAAAAGTTCATTTGATATAATTTTCACAGAACCTTTTACAATAAGTTTCACTAACGTCAAAAAGTAAATTTTTTGGTTGTTAAAATCAAAAAATCAAGTTTAAATGATTGATATAAATCTGATCATAACTTCATAAAAAAACATACAGTTAAATAAATTACCTTGTTTTTGAATTTATAAAACAAAAAATTGAAAAGTTTAGTTCCAGACTTTAATTCTATAATTCAGCATAATAAGGTTACAAGAAAGTGCTTTATGATGCACAATGTGCAATGCCTATTAAATTTTGTTCGCAGTAATAAAATAGGTGAAACGTTGGAGGGGGGGGGGGGGGGGCGCACTTTTTAGGAACCGCTTAGGGCGACGAATACACCAGGACCGCGCCTGTACTTATATATATATTGTTTTATTTCTAGATTAATTCAAATTATCGCGATACTCTCTTTTATTCATTTTTGAAAGTTTTCTTTTAATCAGTTTTGTTTCTGTAGACATAGTAAAAACGTATTCTTATATTTTATGCTTAATTTTTCCGATTTTGTTTTTATTGTTTTTTGATTTATGTGAGCTTTAGAAATATATTTATTCGCATTAAATTAAATATTTTGATTATTTTTTTTGCTTATTTTATAAGTTATTCGGAATAAAAACGTTAAATAAATAAGAATTTTTAAAAATTATTTCTGTCAGTATTAGGAACATTTGAAATTCGACCCTGCTTCTATTACTGACATATGTGTCAGTAATACTAATAGAAGAATACTGCCATATGTGTCAGCAAGTAATAAATGTCGTCATATTTAAAATATTTAACTTTTTAAATTAAAATCGAACTTGAATTTTCTTTCTGGCAATAGAATTCATCACAGTTTCGGAGTATTTTAGCTTTAAAAACTGGTGTTAGAAATAGGTTCTAAAAAAGGTCAGTATTATATACAAAATTATGTCAGTATAAAGTTTTGACTTTTACATTCATTTTAATTATTTAAAATACTTTCTTTATACTTTAAAATTATTTAAACGATTTCTTTTTATAAAAATCAATTATATTTGTGAAAACTTATATCTGATCACGACCTTTTTAGCTTTTTAATAGTGATATTCTTCTAATAAATTGTGTATCAATATTGCATACAACACTGTCAAAAAAACAGTACAATTCCATATAGCTGTTCTAAAAAAAATCTTCTAAAAAATCCTTTAAAATTATTCCAACCATTAACGTTATAACAGATATCACAACGGAAATGGTTCTCTCTGAATAAGAAGAAAGTGGCCCTTTTTAATATCTCAAAAAGTTGTTCAAAAAATTAAGGATGGGTTGCTCTCTTTACGTAGCAAAATAGCCCTTGTTAAAGCAAATGGGTAGAGGATGGGCAGAATGATATCTCTTATAATATCTTGTGATATGGTACATCATATCTTAAGTATTATTTATAAAAATACATTTGTAGCAAATATTTCTTATAATACTTTATAAAAAATTATGTAATTTCAAATTGGATTTTCACAAATATTTTAAAAATTTTTATTTATTCATTGTTGCATATTAAGACTACTAGTACAAGTACATTCTTTAGTAATAATAAATTCAAGTCAAATGAATTTCACATGTTTTTCCCTTTAATTCAATATAAAAGATGTTGTTTATTTTTGCTTGAATTATAATTTGACCCATTTTTAATTTTTTTTTAAACAAGGTGAAATATCCGTAGAAATCTAAATTATCATTTCATTCTTATTGAATATTATCATTTTAACATTCCTAAACCATTATTCATATATAAAATTTAGATTACAGCATATGAAATTACATTGTCGGTATTAGCAACACATTTGTGCATACGTCAATATTAAAAACATTTTTTCTTTTCATCTTCAATCGGACAATCATGAATTAAAATATATTTTGATTAAATAATTTTATTAAAAATATTATTCTTAATTATCTAAATTATTCAGAAATCGGG